ATAAATTCCACATCATAGGAGTCTCACTGAGATGGGGCTGAAGAGAATTCGTGTATGGCAGGGGTTCCTAGAGATCAGGAAACGCAGGGTAGCGCGTCCGTTTTCCTGAGTTCAAAACCCAAAGATTTGTTGAGATTTACGCTGGCAAAGGAGTGTATATTTGCAGGTTGTAACAACTATTGCATTCGCACTGTCACACATGCACTCACACTGCGCTTACCTGTGAAGAACGTTGCAGCAAGTAGGCCAAGTTCGAATGCGTATGTGTTGGGGAAGCAGTGAATCGGTAGTGCTGTTCGCCTGGATTTGTTTCTTACTCTGTGTCTTACTACAGATTGGCTCATGGTTGAAGCAAAAGTTTCACTACACAAAAGTGTCACTAGTTGACAAGGTTTGACGCCAGATGGGGATATTCGACAGGATTACTCGCATGACGAAGGATTGGCAGGACTTACGCCTCATGAAGATGTTCAGCGAGCAAATTTACAGGCTTGCACGTCACGAATAGGCTGAACTTTACCACGATGTGATAGTTTGTCTACCTCGACGACCCGTTGAGCTATACTGAGTGTGAATGGGCGACACTCGCAGAGTCTCTCATACCGGGTTGGTCAATGTTTAGCAGTCTCCTTGCCCTCTACGTCGGGGATTAGATTTGTGGTGACTTGTTCCTTAAAAACCGTGATATGTTCGCATTTCCTGCCAAATCCCGCTGTCTTGCTATCAGGTGTTTGAGCCATATGCTTTGGACATGTGGCTGGACATGTCCTGCCCGGGAATGGGCTTTCTGGCTGTACAGCCAACCCACGCACAACCATGCACATTCACATAAAATCGTGCAACATCAGCCGTCGCGTAGTGCCATCACCTTGGTGACCTTACTCTCTGTATACATCAGGGAGAATAAGCAAAATCCGGCCACTGCTGACAACTCCCCTCATTCTTTTTCACATAATTTTTCTTCCCCCTCTCCTTATCCTATTAATAACTCCTTCTTTTAGACCCAGTAGTTAGGTCTTTGTGCTCCTTTCGTTCTGAAGTTGTCTTTAAGCGGTATCTGCTCATCATCTGAAGTCGACATCCTCAGGCACCTCGAAATCAAGCTCCAAACCTCGACTCCCAATCTATCTGGCTGCAAAACAACCCAACGCCAAACTGCTTGTTGGAGTTTGTGATTCAGGTTATGCCCTTGGCCTAAAAAATGAAATTATGTTTGTCGTCATTGTCAACTGTCGGGGAAGGCGCTCCGGGAGAAGAGTATAAATGTGCAAATACATCACAGATATATAGCTGTCTTAATCCATCTTCAATGGTGTTGGTGAAATTACTGCTTGGGTTCGTTTGCTTATGCGGCCTAACCAGGCTAAATGTATTGGGTGAGTATCCTTGTTTGAATTTCGCTGTTTATGTACAATGAATTGATCGTGACTTCATTCAGCTTCTACTTAATTTGAATACATAGAAGTGTACAAATCATCACTTATGTAACGTGTACCTTAACTGATAGGGATTTTAAAATGAGCACAAGTATGGATCATTTACAAGTTTTCTGCACCGGGGAAGCTAACGGTTTACGCACAACCCGCGACAGTTTTTACTGTGAATTCATCCAGATGCGAAATTAACGGTGCTGGACGGTGCCAGGGTTGTACACTGGTTGGGTTTTCAGCTTTATCAATCAAATCCCGAAGTGATATTCGTAGTGCGCAAGTAAATATCAAATTTGAAAAACCATTCCAGTCGATGTACACAGCGAACGGACCCAATAAATTCCACATCATAGGAGTCTCACTGAGATGGGGCTGAAGAGAATTCGTGTATGGCAGGGGTTCCTAGAGATCAGGAAACGCAGGGTAGCGCGTCCGTTTTCCTGAGTTCAAAACCCAAAGATTTGTTGAGATTTACGCTGGCAAAGGAGTGTATATTTGCAGGTTGTAACAACTATTGCATTCGCACTGTCACACATGCACTCACACTGCGCTTACCTGTGAAGAACGTTGCAGCAAGTAGGCCAAGTTCGAATGCGTATGTGTTGGGGAAGCAGTGAATCGGTAGTGCTGTTCGCCTGGATTTGTTTCTTACTCTGTGTCTTACTACAGATTGGCTCATGGTTGAAGCAAAAGTTTCACTACACAAAAGTGTCACTAGTTGACAAGGTTTGACGCCAGATGGGGATATTCGACAGGATTACTCGCATGACGAAGGATTGGCAGGACTTACGCCTCATGAAGATGTTCAGCGAGCAAATTTACAGGCTTGCACGTCACGAATAGGCTGAACTTTACCACGATGTGATAGTTTGTCTACCTCGACGACCCGTTGAGCTATACTGAGTGTGAATGGGCGACACTCGCAGAGTCTCTCATACCGGGTTGGTCAATGTTTAGCAGTCTCCTTGCCCTCTACGTCGGGGATTAGATTTGTGGTGACTTGTTCCTTAAAAACCGTGATATGTTCGCATTTCCTGCCAAATCCCGCTGTCTTGCTATCAGGTGTTTGAGCCATATGCTTTGGACATGTGGCTGGACATGTCCTGCCCGGGAATGGGCTTTCTGGCTGTACAGCCAACCCACGCACAACCATGCACATTCACATAAAATCGTGCAACATCAGCCGTCGCGTAGTGCCATCACCTTGGTGACCTTACTCTCTGTATACATCAGGGAGAATAAGCAAAATCCGGCCACTGCTGACAACTCCCCTCATTCTTTTTCACATAATTTTTCTTCCCCCTCTCCTTATCCTATTAATAACTCCTTCTTTTAGACCCAGTAGTTAGGTCTTTGTGCTCCTTTCGTTCTGAAGTTGTCTTTAAGCGGTATCTGCTCATCATCTGAAGTCGACATCCTCAGGCACCTCGAAATCAAGCTCCAAACCTCGACTCCCAATCTATCTGGCTGCAATGAATGTCCGCACTCTGAAGCAAGCAGGACAAAAAGCTTCCCTTGCTCTCAAACCGGACTCGTTTGGCATTGACGTTTGCTGTGTATCAGAAATAAAAATTCAAGATTAAATCACAGTGGTTGAGCTGACCGCCCCATCACTCTCCACTCGCTTCCGGCTACGCAACTCTGGATATCCACAGGCTACTGCGGCAGGATGCATGGTGGTTGGTATCTTCTCAAGTTGCCGGGTGGAAGGATTCTTGCTTGACTGGATACTCGTTGATAGTCGCCTCTATGTAGTTCGCCTGGCAGCGTCTGTGAAGGAGTATAATCAGGGAGAGGTTGATCAATGCCTGTTTGTTGTGTCTGCTTACACCTCAAATGAATATACCTCTGACTCCATCAAGAAGAAGTTATACGACGGCATGAATGCCCTGTCGTCGCAAGTCAAAAGATCAGATATCGCTGTAGTCGCTGGTGAGTTAAATGTACAAGTGGACAGGCTTAGCCCATCTGAGACTCAATAAGATCCATCAACAGTTTTCTCCCTGTGTTTATATCCGCCTGGCAGAATTCAGTAGACTCCATCTCAGTTGCAAGGTACAACTGGGACAAACAGGCTCACAGTGATTTATGGAAAGCACATCAGGGAGAGGGGGTCCAACAAGTGACTCGACTTCGTACTGACAGTTCGTCCACCCCGGATTCGCAGTTGTCTGCATTGCCCTAGAACCGAATGTTGTGTCTTGTACTACTATTTCATTTGCTGGTACACCTTTTAAACGTTTTCATGTTAAATTTTAAGGATTCGAAGATCCACTTTCGGTGGACTGTGACAAACGGAGTACCTTCTTATCATTTCTCAACTGCGAATGGTGCTTTTGTTTAAAAAACTTCACGTTTTTAACATGTGGTGACACCATTACTCGCTTGGAATCATCGTCTAAGATCTATTATTATATATCTTCTTATATAATGCTGCGTAACCTACTGGCATAATTGATCGGTTAAACACTGAACATACCACAATGCCCACAATTTCAATGTACCAATAGCAACACTCATAGTATTGCACAGTTAATGAATTCGCTCCTTTAGAATGGGTTTTCCGACTTGCACACTATGTTACCGTCAGTTCTTAGCGGCTATGGGATTCCCATGCACATCACCCTAGGTTGTAAGGCTCATGCCAGTCTTGACAACTATTCTTATAAGTCCACATCAAACGATGAAAGCAGTGGCTGGACTCAGTCCTTCCAATAAGTGCTCACTAATAGTGAAAATCATTGTCTATTCCCAAGTTTGAACCCTGACATCGGATGCTCAAGGCACGGAGTATTACTCAGTGCCAGTTCACAGTTCATTGATGAATAAAATTCGCCCCAGTGCCTCTCATCAATAACAGTAAATTGTAATTAATTGGATTCGCCATATCTACAAGTATCTCCGTACATTAAAACTGCTGGCCGATTTAAAATGAGAAATCGATTAATTTTTCTGAAGTGGATTTTGGCGCCATAACAGAAGTTACTTCTCCTTAACTAATGAGAATAATGGATAGACGTCTCTGGTCAGTGTAGATTCGGACGGTTAAAGAGCTGATAGAAGATACCGTGTAGGATTTTCTCACCAATAACATTGGATAGGGGATGCTCTGCCGAGTCAGTGCCAAGCCACCTCCTCAACGTACATCGACTATCGCGCCTCGCCTAAAGGATAGTCCCATCGATTAGTGATGACATATCTCAAAAAGCGTTTACTCGGTTTGAGTCCACTCAATGCTTTTAAAACTCAACAAAAAACGTCAGCTGCTAGCCATAAAGACAAATGGGTCAATTACTATTTAACTGGTATCATTTGAGTGCAAAAATCCTATGCAGCGGACAGTGAATGAAAAGTGCTGTTTGATTTTGTTTTCATTATACAGGTCAAAAGATGAAGGCAGTGAAGTCTCAGGTAAGATTCAAGTTGATCTCTAATTACTCTGCGCTTTGCCCGCAGAGTAGATCCTTTTTGGCCAAGAATTTTCTTCTTCGTTATATACGTTGTAATCAGCAATTCATATGGAATATAGAAAATTCAGGATCCGATTTCCTGATGTATTTCTCATTCTAGGATGAAATTACGAAAGCGGTCGCTAACAATAAGAACAAGCTGATTGTCCTCTTCTTCCATACCAGCGGATACGCACCATTTGATGAACTCGGGGCGAAACTTGCAAAATTAGAGGCGCAGGACAATGGTGTTGTGTTTCTTGACATAGATGTCACTGCGCACACGGTGAGCAAGCGTGTTTTCAGTGTCATTCGTATGAGTTTTAGTGACCGGAAATGAATATCCGCATCATCAATGTTTTTGATTCGTGTGGGTTTAACCGGGAATTAATCAGCCCAAAGTAGCGGTAAAAAGAAATAATCCTCATACCGATGGGCAAGTCTCAATGATAAGTACCAAATTTTTAAACAGGGCCTTGTATGGTGAAAGGAGCAGTTTTCCAAGTTGGAAAACCATCTAATACGTTCCCAACGGCCAGCGCTATACTTTCAGTTCAAACAGTGAATTTCGGAAACTTAACTGACCCCTGAGACTCAAATTTTACCAAAGCGACTTGACATCCTTTGCAAAATCGATCCATGATAATGTTATATTCCATGCTCACGGGTCTGTTCCTCCCCGGTTAAAAACCGTCGAAAGGCACTTCAGTCTTCGTGAGGTCTTAGGGATTAGAATTCATAATGGACAGAAGTTGTCGGTCCAAAGTCAGTGGCACGATCCACTGATGGTCCAAGTTTTAAAATCAATCAGAATAAAGAACGGTTTTATTCCGCTGAATTGCAGTGACGGCTGAAGACGACTTTGACCTAGTGTACTCCAACTAGTGCAAAATCAAACCGTTTTCTAGCTTTAAGCAATATACAACATAGACTGTCTTGTTTCACCTGGAACAATTCGGATTTCGCACTCCATTCCGTTCCCGGAGTTACGGAATGTTAAATCTGAACAACTCAATACCTAGTTGTGATAGTGTATCGTTGAACAGACTTGTGTTTAACATGCCAACAAATTAAGCAGGCCACGTACCTAAGACATATCTTAGTTGAGATGCATGTCAAAAGACAGGGAAGATCAGTCTAAAGACGGATGTCAACTGAGATTTATGGAATCTTCTTTGTTCTAATGATTACCTCAATTATATTCCGACATATCACGGCTTGAGCTGAATGTATTATTCAGATAACTTACCGGTGCAAGCCAGCCAGTGCGTTCATATCGGATCAAGATGGTAATCCAAGCCCCGATGATAGCCCTCCGTTCTGCATATCCCAGATTTGTTATGCAAATTGTGGCTTTCTAAACTGGTGAACTCACAGTAAACGTATTACCTCACAGTGCGCTGCTCCACCCTTAAGTATACCAGTCCGGTTGAAATTTCGATGCTTCTTGGATTGCACGCTAGTTGTTCACACTTCTCAAGGCGTAACCAGATAATCTCTCCGTAACATTGCATTACTGCTTTTCACACCTTTAGTCTACTTTAACCAGTATTTTTTTTCAAAGTTAGTCCAGGATTCATGATAACTGTGAATTGTAGATTGGTGATCTATACCGTTTTTTTGGCGCAACAATATAAACTGATAAAAAATGCTAATGGGGAGTTGGGCTTACCGGTCGGTGCATTGGCAAAAGCATGTACATAGAGACGAGCTGCTTGCACCGAGACAAATAGAAACGACGTTCCAGCTCGTGGCGTCATTTAAGCTCGGAGTAAAATAATAGGCATTTTAAGCCATTAGCCGGCTTCATATATGGATCGGATCTTTGTCTCGAAACGCCAGTTATTCACAAGGGTTGATTGTTTGAATCTCCAAGCACTAATAACACCTTCATCACCTCGGAATCAAGATAGGAATGCAACGCATTTGAATTACTGTTCAAATTTTTCATACAAGGTGACTAAATTGTGTATATCAAATCCAGGTTTAAGGGTTAGAACACCAGCCTAAGAGCAAGATGTTGCTAAATGGCACAAGAAATAAGGACGTGATGTGAACTTTGCCTCTGATGGACTGAAGCGCTAGGTTTCGTCCAAATGCCGGTTAATTACACTGTCAACAGTACTACGGGCAATTCCTGATGAGACTGAAAGACTCCTGCCCTCCTTCAATACCTAGCTCTACAGGACTAAACTTCTCTATGAAAAACTTCATAACACACGAAGTGACAGCATAATGAGGATTCAAAATTTGGCAGGAGTGGTATTCGTAGCTGATGAAGAACAGTTGAGAAAGTTAACTATACTGGCAAACTCGTTTGGTGACATGTAGATACAATAAATCACTTAACTGCCGGACGAATAGACATATTAGACCAGCAATTTATTTGAACGGGAGGCGTTGCTAAACTAATAAACGGGGATTGAATTTTATGGGTACATATTTATCTAAACAGTGATGTATGTATTTTGTGCTCGAAACAAGTGGCTAAATTCTGTTATTTTGGGTGTTCACCTTGGCTTCTCGGTGCTACAATGGACGTACAATTGGTCATAAAGATTCTTCTATCATGATCGTTTCATAAAACCTGCCGCAATTTTCCCTACTATCGAAAACCACAGAAATTGATGTATGAATACAACGTTGCCTCAAACCCTACCTTTATTTTTCTGAAAAACGGAGAACAAGTTCACAAATACGAGGATATGGAGGAGGCGACCATCATTGATTTGGTGAACAAGCACAAAGAAGGAACGCAAAAGCAGGGTGAGTTTTCTTTACACACAAGAGATCCATAAACCTTCGCATTCCGTGACTTATCCCGTGGTGTATTTCACATGAGAATGAAAGCCGTGAAACAGTGTGCTGCACTTTGTTAGATTATCATAACGTCACTAGTCACTGATCAAAGCCAGCGTTCGATCATGGTTTAAGAGGTTCAACTAGAAAGACTGACCTTGTCAAATGAAGTTATCCGTTCCCAATAGCTGATATGATCGCTAGGCATGTAGCACTAGTGTGAGGGGCTATATCACCTACGGTTTTCCCGATGAGTTCACATGACGTTTCGATGAGTGGAAAAGCATGAGTCCAATGTTTCATGGCAATAATTCCCATGGTAATGGTATACAGACCAAGAATAGTCTGCAGAGACTTGGAAAGCTGACTTCGATACACGTGATACGTACTTCTCGTGTAAAAAAGATTGATACTTGTTTTTGCTTGGTTTTTATAGTTCAACTAAATCCACAATGATTTGATCGCCCGGTCTGATTATTAGGAGAGAACCGGTGGGTTTTATAAAGGTGATATAGGAAGCTTGTAACATATGCTAAGTGTTTGCAACGAAGTAAATTTTGGAACATTGGACAGGATTTTGCACTGTTTACTTAGCTTTTTTGATTGCTAGAATTGCTAGAATGGATGTGGAGGATTGATATGCATAATTGTGTTGCTGTATGGTTGTTTATTTTAAACTGACCATCATTGTCTTTAGATGACGTTTCCCGTAGTACTGTATGACTCTTTTTGGCGCGGAGCAGTAGATGAGTTGAAAAATCTGAGCACGTGAGAATAAGCGAGTGCTTATCCCTGGTAGAATGGTTAGGATATCACGTCACAACTGTGGGCTTCATTCCTAGCGCCTGGATGTGATAATGAATGTGTGGTTGAGATGGTCTCTATGGCATTTGGTTGTCCAGGATAAACGTGATGCGGAAAGGTGTGTCGAAAAACTTCGTTGCAATGTATTTCTTTCTATGTAGACTTTTAATTCTAAAAGTTGACGGCCACTGGATGCACAAACTGAGTAGCTGCTTGACAGAGTTTGGCATTCACGAGGATGCGGCTAAGAAAAATCAAAATTCCAATGTATCTTAAAAGGAAGATGCAGAGGCTAGCTACTGAAAACGGGAAGTCTCGAAATTCGGTCATAACGATGAATCGACTGAGAAGCCTTATCCAATAAACACAGGAGTAAACGTCTAAACGTGGAACCAGATAACCTGCAAAAATGAACAAACATTTAGAGGAATAGTCATTTTAAGGCACATCCGTTCTATAGTATTTCTCGGAGAGTAAAAGGAAACACTGTCATGTGGGTATACATACGTAACCTTAAAATTTATCTTCTTTACAAACTGAGTAGCTGCTTGACAGAGTTTGGCATTCACGAGGATGCGGCTAAGAAAAATCAAAATTCCAATGTATCTTAAAAGGAAGATGCAGAGGCTAGCTACTGAAAACGGGAAGTCTCGAAATTCGGTCATAACGATGAATCGACTGAGAAGCCTTATCCAATAAACACAGGAGTAAACGTCTAAACGTGGAACCAGATAACCTGCAAAAATGAACAAACATTTAGAGGAATAGTCATTTTAAGGCACATCCGTTCTATAGTATTTCTCGGAGAGTAAAAGGAAACACTGTCATGTGGGTATACATACGTAACCTAAAAATTATATCTTCTTTAGGACCCAAGAACAACGTTCCCAAAGACGAACAAAAACCTACCAATAAACCAGGTACCATAACTTTTTTCCTGGAGAAAGATTTTCTAATCAAATCCCATTTTTCCTACATATTACCGTTCCTTCATTCCAAAGCAGCAGATTTCCGAACCCATGAAAACTTTTCACGCAACTGATTTTATGAACCCCGATAAACATTTTGACCTCAAAATGGGAAAATTTGTTGTACATCATCTAAAATCCATACAACTTCATTCATTTTGCTACTGAACAAGAGTGACAGTAAACAGGCAAAAAGTACCTAAAATTTCGAGGTTTTTGTCATTCCAAGGCGTGTCTGTTTGACATTATTTCTCGAACAGTAAAGGAGAACACGTGGCCTTTATAATCATAACTTTTCTTTTAGCGCCCAAGAACGAGGCGTCTAAAGACGAACGCAAACCTATCAATACACAAGGTACCGTTAGTTTTTCCTCTAGAAACAGCTCTAAGTCAAATTCCATGCTTCCTACATATTACCGTTACCTCGTTCCCAAGCAGTAGGTTTTCGAACCCATGAAAACATTTCACGCAGTTAATTTTATGACGTGCCTTAACAACTTTAACTTCAAACTGGTAAATAAGTTATTGTACACCACTTTAAATTTATTCACTTTGGTTCATTTCTCTCCAAATCTGAGGATACCGAACAAGGATGAGAGTCGTGTGGGGCCACCCCGTTTTGAAGAACCTACTAAAAGAGGCTGAAGTTACCCATTGCAATGGAATGAAATGTCCCAGTTAGTGGTCGTATGTAATGTCTGTAAGCCTCAATTAGTGGAAAAGGAAAATATCAGCATTCAAAAGAGTGTTGCTTTTGTACTTTCTGATGAAGTTCATATACTTGACTGGGTCATATTATAATCTTTCGTGAACAAACGTACAAAATGTTTTTCCACTCTGAATTCTTAGCATAATACTTGGCTTTGTTTGGTGTTGTAAGTGGCCCCAACTCCCCAATAAATTCTTCCTGTGTCAAAAGAGTCAGAGTCCCTGTCTGAAACCATGTTGTTGTTTATATTATGATCTAAAACGTCTGGATGGCCGGTAGGAGGTCAGCTTTCAATAGAGGAGTTAGAACATAGTGTGAACACAAGTTTGGGGATCCGCGTGGTTACATTTGGAGTCTTTACGATTTTTCATTTTAAGTTTGAGTCAATTTGTGCCACATAAAGGCACCATTCCTTGAAATCGTTTAAATGAGGTAAAGGTCTGACTACCGATCGGCCGAATTCTGTCAAAAGGCGATCATTGCTTCATCTGTTTGTAAGACAAACTTGGTCCACTGGGAATTTCGAGTGCGAACCACGTTTTTCCAAAGCTAGACGAAGAAATTCGAAATTCCTGCATCACATGTTATCAAGCACTCTCCTTAGCAACAACGAAAAATGTGTAGGGATTTTGTGTATGCCTTCGAACAATAACAATAAATAACCTTGTTGAGTTACGGACCGGCATATTTCGTCAACTCAGGGCCAGCGAACATGATGTTTAGAGGATGATGGAACAGGCAGCCAGCACTCTTGTGGAAGTTCTGCGGACGCAGTTCTAATTAACGAGTGCACATTCACGTCTGAAGACTAAGGTTAATTACACTTGTGTTACTGTTCTGGAGCACTTAACCTGAAACCCAAGCTCAAAGAATTCTGCAGCCTCTACGACGAAACGGAGCTGAGTTGAGTAACAGTTGGCAAAATCGAGGAAGTGACAGAATCAAAAGTTGTTTGGACAAGCCCATAGGTGGGAAACGGTGAGGGTGGCATAATCACAAGGGCTGGTCCAACCAGGCTAACTCAGTAATCAGCCCAATCTACCTTAGTGGTAACCTTTACATCCCCCAACTCAAAGTGATAATTTAGCTCCTCGGAAGGCTGGATATAACACCCGGATTTTTTCGCTTTCCGTGGAAGAGCTAAGTATTCCTTTCTCAGCCTGAGATGTCATGGCGAAAGTGGTGAAAATGGTGAAAATGTGACATTCCGGGAATTGCCAAATAGTTTTCGCGATCAACTGGTGTGCCATGAGTATATCACGTTAAACTGGAGATATTGGGTTTGGAATCGCTCAAAATAAATGGATTGAACACTACAAATTATTTACTTCTCGAGGAATTTTCATTACTTGGCAGAACTCTAACGCTGCAGCCCACTTGTATTGGATGCAAACGCTAACTAGTTATTCCCACAGTAAAATCTATTAAACGGAATATCAGCAACCAATCTGTGCTGTTAGTCAAGCGAAACGGAAACCAAGACAAAGGCTGCCAATATGTGCGCTTCGCTGCTTTATCTAGTATTTCCGGTTCTGTTTGATCATCCAGATGGCAAAGTGCGAAAAATCAACTCGATGGTAAGCCGTAGTATATAAACTAATATATATGTAAAGTTTCTGCTTCCATGGAGGTCAATCAATAAAGCTTGAACACTTGCTATCGTCACGTTCAATGCCGTTCTTTTGATCCATTTTGTTTTACAGAAACAACTGGACGAAATAAGCAAGAAAAATGCCAACAAGCTGATTATTGTTGATTTCTATGCGGAATGGTGTAATCCATGTAAAATGATAGCTCCAGTATACAAAAAACTGGCTGGTGAATTTCAGAGCGTTGTGTTTCTAAAGGTAGACGGCGATGACAGTGGAGTAAGTCGTTGCGTTGACTGATATAGTGTTTGCAAACTAAACCTTATTAGTATTGGATACATACAGTCTCTGTATGACGCATTAATTTATCTTAATCCATTCATGGAGTCCATAAACGTTTTGATGTATGAGACAGATGAATAGACATCGGAACCTCTTGAACGTTCTCTGCATGGGCTACATTCTTCATTGAACATCTCACAAATGAACATAGTTTGCAGCGTTCAGTCTCAGGAAAAATAAAAATCTGACTTTTCTTGGAGTTGAACCGGTTTATCATTTTTCGTTAAACGGCTAATCAGTAAAACATTAAAACAATGCAAAGATCAGATACAATTGTTCCACTGGTTTCCGGGAACGTGAACCTATACTTAAAAAGTGGAAGAATGCAAATTCGGTTTCGGTTATGCTGGTTTGTTAGCTAAATTATTTTGTCGGTCCGGTTGCCCTCTTTTCAGATAAAGCTAACAATAAAACAGCAAATGAGGGAACCTCAGATGTCAGGCGGTACTAGTTTACGATCGCTAACTTATGCAGCGTCATACTTTTAATTCAGTATGGTCTTCTGTACTGACCCCACCTAAGAGGGACTCATCCAACGGCAGTTCGAACTACAA